ATACTTACGTAGAGCATTGTCAATATTTAAATACTAATATGTAATACTTTACATATTACTTTAATATGTAATACTAATATGTAATACTAAGTGATGAAATACTTACGTAAAGTACTGTCAAGATTAAAAGTATTAACCCAGATAGCACATAATATTAATGATAAATATTTTATAAATATTTATATATATATATATATATATATATATATATATATATATATATATATAAAGAGAGAGAAGAAAAAGTATGAAAATCTTTATTCAAAATATTATTATAATATAGGCTAAATATCTAAATATTTTATACAATATTTATTGTAAACAAAAAATTAATTTGTAGTAATATTTTGTAAATATTTTTATAAATATTAAACATGAAAAAAATAAATATAATTATTTATCAAATTAATGAAGAAATAAGAAAATCGAAATTTAAATTGGTAATGTACACTAAAAAAAATTCTTTAAATCAAAGAAATATATTGTGTTAAATATAATTTCTTATCTTAAAAAAATATTTATTAGATTTTAGAGAATATGTAATAAATATGAAGAAATATTTTATTAAATTTGTAAAATAAGCTGTAAAATTATGTATTTCTAAATAAAAAGAATGGTTTCTTTTATTTAAAATATTAATATTTAATATTTAAATATTAATATTTAAGAATAAGCAAATGATTTTCTTATACAAGAAGAAAATTATACTTATACCGCTACGCTCCTACGTCTTGCCGCCCCGTGCCGAGATAAGAATAGGCAGTGGTGCATCTTCCAATCACCGCGCGCGACATTCGCGCGCTTTATTATTCGGCCGCGCTTTATTATTCGGCCGCGCTGTGACTCGAGTGGTCCGTCCTCTGCCATTCAGCGTATGTTTTTCTGTAATATTTTTTAATATCTCGACTATTATTGCGAATATCGCAAAACGGTATGGAACTTTTATGTTCACATCAACTCATTTTACGTCCCCACAAAATGCCAAGAGGAGAATGTAAGACACCCTGTACATATATATATATATATATATATATATATATACAGGGTGTTCAAAAAGTCCCGGACCGGTGAAATATCTCGAAAACTAAGCATTTTAGAAAAAAATGTTTCAGATAAAAGTTGTGGCGTTTAAAAAGATGTATTTACTGATCACATCAGTTTGACCTTGGGTTGCGTAGCGAAGGTCAGGTCAAGGTCACATTAATTTTTTAAATGGAACATCCCATATATTCATTGCATATTCTTATAGCACATCTCGAGAGCTTTC